CTCACCACATGCTGGTAGTGTTGCTGCTTGGTCCATGACTGCTTATTCATCAGAGTTACCTTTGCTTACTTCACAGCTAACCTTCCTTGAAGTTTATTCCACTATCTGCCACCTCTGGACACTCTGGGTAGTAGCACAGCTCTGCTTCCCAGCCCAGGTAGTAAGTGTTAACTGATTCCAGTCCAATACATGTTGTAAGGTGGTGGGGAGAACAAAGGCAAAGGTATCTGATAATTTTGAAGCACTCCTCTGCTAAGTTGATTAGCACACATCCACAGGATGCCTCAAATGCCTCTACACAAACGCTTGTAGTATGGGAAACAAGCAAGAGGAATTTACCCTCCTGCTAGCTGACACCAACCCAGACATAGTGGGGATCACTGAAACGTGGTGGGACCCAACGCATGACTGGGCGGTGAATATCAAGGGCTATAGGCTGTACAGGAGGGATAGGACAGGGAGGAAAGGTGGGGGCATGGTGCTCTACGTTAAGGAGGAATACACATCCTCGTCAGTTAGCAAAGAATCAGAGGAGGGGGACTCTGAAGTGCTCTGTATTATAATACAAGGCAGTCGCGGAGAAAGAGACTTAATGGTGGGGGTCTACTACAAACCACCCAACCAAGGGGAAGAGCTAGACCAGGAATTCTCAAGTCAGCTCATGGAGGTAGTTAGGTCAAAGGATGTAGTCATCATGGGGGACCTGAACTTTCTAGACATCTGCTGGGAAGAGCAGTCAGCCAGGTCTGACCACTCATGTAGGTTCCTAGCCAGAAGGCAGGACCTCCATCTAACCCAGGAGGTGCACAGCCCCACCAGGGGAGACACCTTGTTGGACCTGGTGCTGGCCACAGGTGACGATCTGGTGAGGGGGCTGACAGTGCTCGACCGCCTGGGTGACAGTCATCATCGCCCGCTGGAATTCAACATCCAGCGCAAGGTGGCAAAGGCCTACAGCAAGGCAGCAGACCTAGATTTCAGGAGGGCGGACTTCAATGAGCTAAGGAGAATAGTTGGGGAAGCACTGAGGTCCCAGAGGGCGGGGGAGCCAGGTGTCCAAGAAGAGTGGTAGATCCTTAAGGAGACGATCCTCCAAGCTCAAAGGGAGGTATCCCAACACGGATCAAAAGGGGCAGGAGGGCGCAAAAGACTCCATGGCTCACCAAAAGCATCCGGGAATGTCTCCTAGTTAAAAGGGAGGCGCACACCCAATGGAAGGGAGGAGCCATCACCAGGGAGGATTATACTGCGGTTGCTCGGGGATGCAGGGGGGCAGTCAGGAAGGCCAAGGCGGAGATGGAACTGGGACTAGCTTCCCAGATCAAGGACAACAAGAAGTCCTTTTT